CCGGTCACAGATGCTGGCGAAACGTTAGGAACCAAAACTTCCAGAACACGGCCACACAGCCTGGAAGACCCACATGAGCCATCGTCCAAATGACATACTTTGAGTTCTCCATACTTGTTCTCTGTGGCCACCTATGCCCCATTAAAAAATGTTGGTCTCTTGCAGGACCACTGTTATATCAATCTTCATGGATTGTGAGTATGTTCCACTGAATTCTATTGAATAGATGAATGAATAGATGACAGATGTCTCTACTAAAGCTTGCACGTGTACACCCCTACCCAAACAGAAGGAATGAGCACACCTTACTGCTATTTTATACATTTTATTTTGACTCCACAGGTACCAATATGAAAACACTGTTTCCTCTTCTGAAAATTCTTCTTCGAGTATGGCTGTTTGCCTTGCAAATCAAAGTGAAATGTTCAAGTCTGCCAAACTACCTTCAAAAGGTAAGGCTCCCCTTTCGATACATGATGCATTACATTTAACTTCTTCTACATTACATCCCTCAGTGGTGGAAGGAGGTCACAGCAACTAACACCTGTACAATATTTTGACCAATAATTAACATTAGGCTAGTCATATTTGACAGAGGTTTATCATTAGGCTTCCTGGATCGTTTGTGACATCACAGCAAGTAAGCCAATAGCAGCCAGAATATTGATAACCTATTACCTTGTACAAAGAACAGTAAACAGCTGGGCTGATCTTCACTTATCCATGGTCAGGCACACATAATTTTCCTTGCTGATACACACGTTTTTCATTACCAATCAATGAAAAACATCAAAAGTTTTACTTCTGTGAACATCCTCTTCATACCGTTTTTGGTTTATTGTTTCTGCTTATTCTTGTCTTTTTTAGAATGTGAAAAACAAGATGGATCTTTAATGTGGGTATCTGTGATGGTAGGAAACATCATACGAGGAGTAGGCGAAACTCCCATCACACCTTTGGGCATTTCCTATGTAGAAGATTTTGCAAGGACAGAAAATTCTCCATTCTACATAGGTAAACGTGCAAATGCCCAAACATAGTATTTTGTTTAAACTTTTTTTTAAAGGCTTTTATAAATGAGAAGGAAGAAACTTGTATTTCTGAGTCACAACTCCCAGCAGCCTCAGCCAATGAAGGATCCTGGGAATTGTACTTCAGCTATATCTAAAGCAGGGTTCCTCAACCTCAGCAACTTTAAGATGGGTGG